CTACTATATATATATATATATATATATATATATAATGCCTATTGAAACTGACTTTTAATAACTTTTCTTCTTAAATACACCAGAAGCTTTCTCCCAAATCAACCAAAGAGTTTTTGTCCCTAGCCAGATTCAAAAAGAAAAAAAAGTTCTCTAGGGCGACTAACAACGATGAACTAAATATCTATACCATAATCCCAAAATGGTATAACTTGAGATGCAGCAGAAGGCTAGGGAGCATCAAATTATAAAAACATAGTCAAAAGATATGTGCAAGTGCCGTTCACATGGAACCTTTGCCCACTTCGGCCTTCAAAGTTCTCATTTGAATATTTGCTACTACCACCAAGATCTGTACCAATGGCCGCTCCTCTCGAGCTCGCGCCGCAGGTCATCTCCCAAAGATTTTCATTTCGTTTTGAAAGGTGTTGTCTTTTGAAAACTTATATGTATCCAAATATCTTTATCTAGGATGTACAACAGTTAAAAATACAATTTGTGTATTACCTCCGTGAACTCCAAGTCAGGTCTCTGAGCTAATGACAAAAATTCCCTTCTCCCTTCACCGTTTTCCAATATTTCTGCTTCAAAATCTTCATCAAAAGCCACTAGATTGCAAAAGAAAAAATTTACCAGGTTGACCGAATAAAAAAATGCAAACGCAAAATCAAAAGCAAAGCAAATAATTACCGGAGCCATATAGTGTGAGAAGCTTCAACTCTGCCATATAATATTTGATTGTTTCTGGGTACATCAACCACAATCCTGTCAAGTGTAAAGCAGCAAGCCGAACAGTTCGAGGACTTTTACCACCTTCTTCAAGAATCCTCTCAACAAACTACAAGATGGTCAAGGGCTCAATTCATATGAGTGAAGGAGAGAGAATAAGCAACTGTAAACACATAAATGCCAAGTTTTCTGAGGATGGTTACGGTACACATTCAGGAGCCAGCATAAAAGTGACAGCATATTATATTTTCCTCCTCATGGGAATCCATGTATATGACGTGCTGAATGCAAGGATATCTAATCGAGTCATCATTTTCCAAGAAAAAAATCACAATGGACAAGAGCAATGCTTACCCACTTCAAAGGACCCTGCATAGTTCCAGCTGTTTGATGCATTCCCAAGTCATTGAACAAGGATGAATGTAGAACAGAAGACAAAAGAGCTGCAATTGGAGCCACACGACGCTTATTGCAATTGACATATAAAGTCCAAGCAGAACGAACCAATTTCCACATCATCTGTCATTAAGAAAATGGAGACTCTGAAATCAATGACCTATTTTGTCAAATTTTGCCAAATAGGAAGAGAAAATACAAGTTCCAATGATTCATGAAACTAACAACCGACGAATAGAAAAGGTTTTGACCACAGAAAAATTTGGCACGCTCAAATGGCCTATTTCAATGTAAACATTGTGCTAATTTAGTGCTAGAAATTTCATGGTGACCTGATATTTCAGAAAATTAAAATACAATAAATTGAAGGAAAAGGCATCCAATAATTAAAGAACACACAAAATAAAATGTAATTCTTAAACCTCAAAACCCTCTCAGATGTTCACAAATGAGTTGAAGCCAACTATAAACTTTTCAACATTCATTGAAATGTTAAAGTGGAAATATTTTAGGCATTTAACTCAATCATAAACCGTAGCCTTTTTTATAATTCCACTAGCATAGGCAATACTTTTTAAGCACCTCAACAAGAAAAGAGAGTACAAATGAACAAGGAAATGGTCCTCATTGGAACTTCATGGCCTGTTTCTTGTGAGTAAAAATAAGAAGATGAGCGAGTATCCTCCCAATAACAACCACATAAGACAGCTCCATGAAACAAACCGCAAGCAGCAAAACTAGAACTACATATTGAACAAGAAGATAACCAAACCTCAATATCAATGCCAATGCTCGAAGAATCAGATAACATCTTCTTTTTTGTGAAGGATATACTCAAAATCAATCTGATGGACCTCAATATTGGAAGCACAGAACTCTCCCCAGAATGTTCAAGGCTGCAAACAAAATTCAAATTCCCATAAGAAAATACCCATTGTGAATCTTTAAAGCACAAGTACAGAAACTGTTTTCCATCATAAAACTAAGGGTATTTCTCTAAAGAGCTCAAACTATTCATCACAGTATCAGAACTGGCACAAATGACAAGATGAGACCATATTGAGAAGAACTTCTAGCAAGGTATGTTGATAAAATCACGATCAAAACATGTATGCACACACATTATATAAATATATAAATATATAAATATATAAATATATATATATATATATATATATAGGAAAATGTTGGCATAGGCCCACTAACCCACAACTACATATGAGCCCAACGGTCAATCTGAGCCGAGCCAATGATCATGTTTGCATTTCGTATTTGAAATTTAATTTTCTTTCTATAAATCCAAGTCACTTGAAATTTTGGACGTGTGTTCTATAAAAATAAACTAATCCAATAAAAATATCAAAAAAAAATATTTTGTGAAAAATAAATTGACCAAAATACCCCCAAAAATATTTTGCGAATTATTTTTTAATAATTTTATTAGGAGCAACTTGATGATAAGAATAGACGTCTAAAATATCACATGATTTGGATTTGTAAAAAAAAAAAAAAATCAAATATGAAATGAGGTCGTGTCCATCAGATCAGCCTAGATTCAATATATATAAGGATTTAAAAAAAATCTGCGATCCAGATTGGACCCAACACATCCAGATTAGAAATCAGTCGAGCCGATCCGGATCCCATAAAATTTTGGGAACTGGCTGGTTCCCCCCATGAACCGGCGGGTTCCGCCTCAATCTTTTTTCATTTTTTATTTTTAAATCACGGAACCGGTAGGTTCAATCCGGTTGTGTTGGGGCTGATTCTAGCCGGTTCTCTGACAGAGAACAGATCACCAATTCACCAAATCAGATCGGAAATCCAGAGGGGATCGCTAGTTCATCAAATCAGATGGGAAATCCAGAGGAGTAATCTGAGCCACCGATCTGTTTCTTGTATCTTACCTTTCCCTTAAAATCAGATCAGAATCTTCCTTTCTCCCCTCTGAAATCAGATTTTAAAATTTCAAAACAATTAGCTTGAACCCTAACTTCCACATAACTTGTGAGTTTTTATATCAGAAATCTGAAAACTTATTTTTTGTGAGAGCCATAAAATCAGATCTGAAAATTTCAGATTAGATCAATTTTTCTTTTCTTTTCTTTGAAAGTTTCATATTTATGTTTCAACAGTTTCAAACCTTAACTTCCACATATCTTGTGAGTTTTATATCAGATCTGAATTTTTCCTTCGAAAGTCTCAAACCCTAAAGTCTTTTTATTATGTGAAACCTTCTTTTACCTCATTCATCCCTATATCATTTCCTTATCTACATGTTTTTCTTTGACTCCTATTATGCTCCCACATATGTTCTCTATTAGATTGGAGTATACCAAGTTCGTAACATGGAAAGTCCGAAATCGTTCCAATCCTGCATAAGCTAAGACTGATGGGATATCTTGATGGGAATATCTCCTCCTACAAAGCTCATGGAGAAAGAGATCGCCTCCCAATGCATGAATAAAGGAAATGAAACTAGTCTCCAGTCCTGAATATGAAAATTGGTTTGCCACAGGCCAGCCATTAATAGGATGGATAAATTCCAGTCTTGCCCAAAACATTATATCTCTAGTAATAGACATTCATTCGGCCAAATAATTGTGGGATCTTCTTCATGAGTTTTACTCTCAATCAAAGGCAAGCTTGACGCATATTGGCCATCAACTCTAGCAATGCAAGAGAGAGAACTCTTCCATTAGCGAGTATTTAAATATAAGTGAAAGGACTTTGTAATCAGTTAGCGGTCATTGATCATGAGGTCAATGATGATGATAAAGTATTCCACCCGCTTGAAGGATTGGGTGAAGAACATGACATGTCCGTCACATCCATCATGTCTAGACCACCTTCACTTGGTGTCAATGAACTTTGCCCTCTCTTACTGCAACATGAAGCTTTGTTTAAAAAACCCAGTCGAAACCGAAATAAGATGTTCACGTCTTCACGATATCTTAAATGTTGACCCATACCAACTCCAAAATGGCTACTAGAGGCCGTGAAGGATGAAGAAACAACTGTGGTAGTGGGCACGGGCGATTCAATCCATCCAACCAGTATTATGGAAGTCAAGGAGCAACAAGAACATAATACCTGGGGAATTTTATCAGTAGCCCCGACTCAGCCAACAAGTGCAAACCAGCCCATCACATGTCAGCTTTATGGGAAAAGGAACCACAATGCCTCCCAGTGTTACCATATATATGAGACACACCACCAAAATGTTGTTGTCCTAACACACTCAATTACAAATAGAAATATATTGCAGCCTTCAACACCTTCTTCAATACCACTTTTTAGTGATTCTTGGATTATGGACGCAGGATCTGCCAATCATGTGACATCTGATGCAGGTATGTTAGTTCCATATGTTGGTAAGGGGAAAATCATTGCAGTGGATGGCACTCAACTCCGCACCATTGGGATTGGCAATATTGTTGTCTTCTCATTTTTGGGTTCCTTTTTTTGCCTAACACCTTCTTGGTTCAAAAAAACTAAACGAAATCTTATTTTTATGTCACAATTATCTGATGATTTGAAGTGCTTCATGATAGTTACTCTGATTCTATGTTTCTCGAGGATCGTCATTGAGGAACCTTCATCGTCAAGAAGCGCCATCAAGGACAGTCAGAGTCAAGAAATAGGGTCAACTTCTCTCTTTCCAGCACAGTCTGCAGTGTTGAAATGTACAATTTATTGATAAAATAAATAACTCTCTGTATTGTTATGCGAGACTTTTATATGAGAAGACTTGAGTAAATAAATATGAACCTCAAAATTAACATGAGAAAATATATTCGCAAGCACATTAAATATATTTCCAATACACTCATTGTGTATCTAAAATTCTAAATATATTATATAAGAACAATGTGTATTTTTTATACTTCAAAATTTTGATAGCTGTTAAATTTATGTTATAAGAGCACTCCTATGACACTCCCAACATAGGCAGCTTCTTGCTACTGATGATACCCCGCTCCTGCCCATTTTCACACTTCCAACAACTATGAGCCCGCCAACAAATTTAGTGCATCAAGGTAAGGATGACAAATTTGGATAGAGATTTTGACAACATGTGAACAGTGGATGGTATAGTAAAAAAATACAGTATCCATAACTCTCACATAATGATAGAGAGAGAGTGACAACGTGGACCCAAGAACTATCTGCAACCTAATATGGTCTGTTTTTGTTATGTTACACAAGGGTGTGATAGAAGCAAGGAATCCCCAATACAAGACAAAACTGTGTGGCCAACTACCACATAGACAATTTTTTTTTTTTGTGGTAACATTGTATCAAAAGACATTAAGAGTTATGGGGATTGAAGTATAAAAGGCAACCCACAGACGGGTGCCCTATACAAAAAAGGAATAAACAGATGATACTATACAGAAGGAAAGATAGACATGGACAAATGTCAAAAGAGGGAAGACGTCTGCTCAAAAAGGTGCTACATCGCTTCCCAACGTTGAGCTCAAGTTTGTAATCGAATGGGAGGCCCCTTCCTTAGCCAATGAGTCAGCCTTGGAATTGGCTTCTCTCCAAATGTGGGACCACCGTATAGAAGTCAAGATACTAAGTTATCAAATCTCATATCATCCAGTCTCCATGTCCACAAGGAACCGACCGAGGCCCAGGCCAACACATTTTTGGAGTCGCCTTCAGTTATTAGAGATTGGCCCCCAAGATGGATCAAAAGTCCTGATGCCTTCCTGAAGTGCTTGGGCTTCTGCGACTGTGGAATCCGAAATACCAATTGGAAGGGAAAATGAACACAGGATGACTCCTTAAGAGCACGAAATAAACTCCCAATGCCTGCTGGCCCTGGGTTAACTTGATCTGTCCGGGTTCTGGGGGTCTCCACAAAGAAGCACAAGGAATTCTGAATGATGTGAGGTTCAACAAGGTGGGCCACTTTAGCTGAAAGTCTGAGAGAGATAGGTGGCTAAATTGTTTATTGTGAGTTGCCCAAATTAGGACCAGGGATTTGGCTTTCTCGATTGAGGCTGCTGGGTGCGACCATTGACTGCGGAAGATTCTGTTATTTCTTTCCTGCCACATGACTGAGAGGGTTGCTGCCACAGAGGCTCTCCATAACGTGATTCCCCCCTTAGATTAGGGAGGGGAGAAATGGGCTCGAACCAGATCGGGGACAGTTGGAGGGGTCACCCATTGCCAATGGGACCGTTGAAGGAGATCAGCCCAAAGGCAGGAGGCCACCGTGCAATGGATGAAGAGGTGGGCATTGGTCTCCAAGCACCTGCTACATCGGTTAGGGATTTGCATCCCTCTCCTCTGACGGAGGTCAACTATGAAGGCTCGTTTGGAGATAAGGATCCAAATGAGGAATTCGATTTTTGGACGAATAAACGGGGACCAGACTCTAACCGATATAGACTGACCACCACTGGGGGTTTGAGGTTGAGAAAGGGAGATGCAATCGAGAAAACTCCCGATGGAGTGGGGTTCCAAACTAGTTTATCAAGGGGTTCCAAACTAGTTTATCAAGGCCACTATGAAGGAGGAAAAGAGATTGTAAGGTTGAAGACAAACTAAGGAATTGTTGCAACTCGTGGTCTGCTAAGTACCTTCTAAAGATGGGGTTCCAGATTCTACAGTGGCCCGAGACTTCCATTTGGGATTCGACTGAGGTCTGTGGGTGCCCAGAAAGTTAGAACAAGCCGGGGTATTGAACTTTGAGGGGTTCGTGGCCCACCCAAGGATCTAATCCGAAGAAGGTTATGTTGCCCCTGCGAGAGCGCATTCTGATTTTGGCTTTGAATTAAGTGTGTAGGCGAAGGATTGATTTCCAGACCCCTGAAGAGTTGCTGCGGGCTCTGCGCTAAGGGACCCATGATGGGTCCAAAGCACAATATTTGGCATTGACGACGTCCTGCCAAAGATGCTTACTTTGGGTGGCCAGTCTCTACCACCATTTTCCGAGAAGAGCGAGGTTGTTAAGATTGAGTCTGCATATCCCAAGTCCCCCTTGAGACTTGGGGGAACAAACCTTCGACCAGGAAACAAGGTGTATTTTCTTATCCCCACTTCCCGACCAAAGGTAATTTCTCATGAGTTGTTCCAGGCACTGCACCATGGGGGTCGGCATGTGAAAAAGAGACATTTGATAGATCAAAATATTTGAGAGGGTGGCCTTAATAAGGGTTGTGCGCCCTGACGAAGAAAGGAATCTGCACTTCCAACTCGTGAATCTACGATCAAACTTATCGATTATATGACTCCAAAGGTTGACTTTGGGTTTACCAAGACAAAGAGGTAAGGCCAAATAAGTGGAGAGGAGTTCTTCAGCTGCGCACCCCCACTGGAAAGCGAGGGTATTAACTAGGGGTGTATTTACTGCCACTCCTGACATTTTGGTCTTGGCCATATTGACCCTTAGGCCAGAGGCAATTTCGAAACATTTCAGGAAGATAAGAAGCTGACGCAGCTGCTGAGGGGATGTGTTGCAAAAGACTAGCGTGTCGTCAGCATATTGTAGATGGCTGATTACGGGGCCTTGACAATCCATCTTGAAGCCTTTGAGAAGCTCCGCTAGGTACATTCGAAAAGGGGTTCTGCTGAACACCTCGGCCACAATTGCAAAGAAGAAGGGAGAAAGGGGATCTCTTTGGCGAAGACCTCAAGAGGAAGCAAAACATCCCTTGGGGGAACCATTTACCAGAACAGAGAAGAAAGGGCTAAACACAAAACCCTTAATCCAAAGACACCATTGATCCCCAAAACCCATGCGAGCAAGAGCCTCGTCAAGGAATTCCCAATTGACGTGATCATAGGCTTTCTCCCAATCGATCTTTACAACGATCCCGGGGATTTTAGAGATGTGTCTCGAGTGGATGGCTTCGTGTGCTACCAAGCACCGCCAAGGATCTGCCTGTCCTTGACAAATGCACCTTGGGTGGGGGAAATGACCCAACCGAGAACCTCCCTTGTTCCTTGGCTAATTGTAGGAACTATTGATGAGGCTAATTGGTCTAAAATCTTTGAGTTCCTTGGCTCCTTCGATTTTTGGGATCAAAGTGATAAAAGTTGCATTCATAGCCCTATGAAATTGACTATTTACCTAGCAGAAACTAAAAATAAAAACCATACCAAGAAACATGAAAGGAAGAAAGCACTTCTTCATCATCATCAGAGCCTTCTCCCAACTATTTGGGATCGGCTACACAAATCCTAGTCCGTCATTCTGCTCTAGCAAGGGTCATACCCTTAATGTGGCCATAAGTCCTCATATGTTTTTTCTCTACTTCCAAGTTCCAACCATGTCCTTTTGGGCCTACCCCTTAGCCCTTTTCGAGCCTTCCATTTGAACCAACTCGCACCTCCTAATAGGTGTTGCATTGGGTCTGCGCTGAGAAAGCACTTAACGTGTACAAAAATGAGAGAATGAAATGTGGTCTTAAGTTGTATGTATAGATTGGCTTTATTAATAATTCCTGTTTTATCATTAGCATAGGTTTAAATTAGCTATCCTTAGAGAAAGATGATGTATGAGCCACATGATCATCCCAGAACAACACAGATATCCACAAGATGACAAGAAAACTAGCTGTTCCACTTCAGCAAGAACCTTATTAGCAAAAACTATGACAAAATCAAATTTCACATCAGTCCAACTGAGATGAAAGAATAGATCAAAGTGAACATACAGAAACAAATGAATTGCCAAAAAACAAAGAACCAGATAAAAATCATAAAATAAAATAAAACTATCCCCACAATTAGGGTCAATTGCACATTTGTGATATAACCACCCAGCAACACCATAACAAGATTAGGCAACTTAACAAGGTTGATGCATGCTTTGCAGTCACAAAAGTAACCTTCGACATGGATCGCCAACCACTTTACCACTCAAAATAAGGAATAGTAGAAGAATCAAAGAATAAGAAGGAACACATGAATACTGCACTATAATGACCCTTTTTGTTTCTGTCAAGTAACTAAGTTTAGTGACCTTCACTTCATCGAATACAACTAGAGAATATAAAATGGGAATTTGCAAGAAAATATAATGCTGCGATCCAAACGCCGTAAGAAACATAATTCAAACGACAAATGGACAAAAGAGTAAAATACATCAAGACAATTAAAGACAGGAATTTTTCGAAAAAGAAAAACTGTGTTCATGCTTAACCTGAAGATAGACCTTCTGATTTTAACTGAACTCATCTAACAATGATTAATTAGAGATCATTAGTTTAATGAATTTTAAAAATATTACACCTAACTATATAGAAAAACTACCCAAGAAATTGAATTCAATCTTCGATGGGAATCCACCTTTCCCCAAACATAAAATAAGGCAAAATATTCAGAAAGTGGTGATACTTCAAACCAAATAGATAGGTTACCATGAAAAGGTTATTGTTTTTCACCTGTCAACTACATCAAGAAAGACACGTTTGAGCATCATCGGAGATATAAAGGGAAATGTGCCTTCCAAATGGATATCCTTCTCAAGCATGTGATAAGGCGCAGTCAATAGAGAATCCAAACAGCACCACTGAATATGAAAAAATAACATAAATTAGATGCAGTAATAGGTGCAAAAGAAACAGAATTTGCTAGCTCATCCCACTACTCAAATCATACAAGAATGCAGATCCATGAGACAAGGTTTCCATAAGCCCTGAAACCAATATACTTCTACCACAAAACTCATATCAAGGGTTGCATGAGCCAACCACAGTTCTTACTCCCTATTTTACCTAATTAAATACGTATAAAGAGGTAGTCGTTAGTTTGAACTCAGTAGTTAAGGATAGTGTCCATGCCAATCTAATGCAGAATAAGAACTTGCAAACACATGAGGCCTAAGTAATCCAGCAGAAATACTTTGGAAGGCCCAAGGCTTAAATGGTCATCCAGGTTGTAACTGTACATGGAGTTTGCAGCAGTAAAACCACCTCATAGGATACAAGGCTTTGAAAGACAAACTAAGCTCAATTGATACGAGACTGTTAACATTGCGTCAAAATTCTGTGGCAACTTTTCAACGGCCAAAAGCCACAGATTGGGCCCCTCACAAAATAGGAACAACTTAGCAGCAATAGGTTTCACAGGACTTGGTGAAATGATAGTACACAGGATAGCAGTGCAAATTCCACTAGAGGCCAGGTTGCTAGTGCAAATGTTAGCAATTTAACTTCTTTAGGAAGCAAAATTTTTTAAAGGCCACAGAAATATGTAGAAAAATCACATTTGTCGGCAAGAGCTTGAAAGGCCCGAGTACCAGTAGTTTAAATACCTCAGGTTAGAGACTATTGATTTAATTGTATCTGATCCAAAAGTTCCAAAGTTTGCAGCAGGAACTAATGTAATGGCCGAAGTAGGTAGGAGGGGCTACAGCCTGGAAGATTACATCTGTTAAAGAGAGCACGTCACTGACAGACACCATCTGACAGTAAGGATAATATTGTATCATAGTATAGAGATGTATTAGCACAACTAACTGAGTAAAACAGTATTGGCACAACTAACTGAGTAAAACATGCACAAGCAGCAGATACTAAGCTAGAACTGAAAAGTAGGCAAGTAATTACTGAGTACTACAGAATTGCTATTTCAGATGGCATACAAAACGGAGAGGTGACAAAGGACAACAAAAGAGACCCCAAAGCAGTTGAGGGTGATGAATATGATGTATTTGGAACTCAAATCAGGAGCTTCTATTTTCATGCTAAGATATCACAGATAATGGAAGGTTGTGGATACAGGCCATAGGGAATGTCAAATAAGCAGAAAACCATTTAATAGACAAACGGGAGGTTGCAATCCAATCAGATAAATGAGAAATTTAGATGTACGCCATGACAACTACCAAATAATGGCTGGTCAATCCTTTCAAGTAAGCACAAAAAATATCTGTCATATAGGTTGCTTCTTATCTAAGCCTTGTTTCTCAATTTCAAAAGGTAGGATAAACTCATGTATAAGTGTAAGATCTTCATCTTCAAATCATACAGCATTCACCACAAATAGATACACAGCAAAAGAATAATTACCTTCCATTGCATCAGAACGGCACGCCTACTTCTGGCCAGCATTCCTACTCCAAGTAGATCATCAATATTACGTAGAAAAGCGTGAAAGAGAGGATCTAGCAAATGCTTTTGATCCACCTCTCTACATAATGTATTGTTAGCGTCCACAAGTCGATCAACAGCCAGAGGAGAGAAAGCATTGGGCAATGCCTTCAAAGCAAATACCAATGCTTCATATGCAGCAAGCCGGATCTCTCCCCCTGTCTATCATATGTTTCGAAATGAGTGAACTAGAGAGGTGAAGAAATCCACAAACAGAATAACAAGAATAGAACATAAGTATACCTCTGAGGAGGGTGCTGTCAACGCAAGGACTTTCCACAAGAAATTCCACAAGAAAGTAATGGAAGAATCGGGTGGTCTAATTTCTTTTGAATATGCAAAACATGATATCATGGAAGAAACAGTCCTCAAGGAGTAAATCTGCTTACCCACATTAAAAAAGAAAATTAAAATGAAAGTACTACCCCAAATGAACTAAGAGCTCTGTGAAGAAGCATACAATAATGTGAACTTTTTTCTTCAAATTAACTACAATAATGCATACTGTCTATTTACAGAAATTCCATTGCTATGCTAAGCAACAAATATAGAAGCACAATACAGTGAATTACAATGAAGAAGTTTTCCAAACTGTCCCTTGTCGGTCATAGAGTTACCACCACTACGGTGCATACCAATATAGACTAGAGTAACCCATGCATGCAACAGAGAAAAAATATTCGTACAGCATTCAGAACTGCAGTACTTGTTGAAGCAGCCAACCGTCGTTGACTTGGGCCGCCAAGCTTCCCTGTTACAGAACTAGGCAATGGTGCATCCTTAACTGTATCAAAGGACCAGAATATGTCACATGTTACATGCGCAAAAGATACAAGCTCCCCCTGCAAGAATCAAGACAAGTGACCAGTGACAAATTAGCTTAATACAAAGGTGAAAATTGCAAAAGAACACCACGAAAAATGACGTTATTGTGCTTCTACTTTATCTGGTTTCCATACCATTATAGAAAGAAATGTTCCACAAATCACATCAAGCCTTATGCTCAATTCATTAGATATTTCCATCATTTGAGGAGTCACAGTTTCAAACTCTGTAAAATAACGACTAGATTTCGTTTGTCCAACTTGCCACTCTTGAACTATGCTTAAGATAAGAACAAGAAATTTAACAGGAATCCATTCCTTATCAAGAGCCTTCTGAAAAAGTTTTGAACCAAATTGCTCAACAAACTGCAAAACAAAAAGGTAACATTAAAGTCAAGTGCCAGTCAAAAGAAATTGTTTCTTCCATATTAATAAAAGCAACACAAAACATCCGAAAGCAACAGAACAAAGAACAAACTACAGTGAGGCTAATCACATAGCAGGATTAGGTTTGGAGAAGGCTAGTAATCTGGTTCAGATAAAACACATGAACAGAAGGCATATCATTCAAAGCATACCATCACTTTTTCTTCTTTTGTTTTTTTGAAGAGTTCACTTGTATATATATTCATATAAATAGTACAAAAACCACACAAGGCGTGAGTAAAGGCAGCCCGTGCAGGGGAGCCCTGTACAAAAAGGAATAGTAAAGGAAAAGGAAGAGGTGGGCGTCCAGACACACACAAGCCAAGAGCTCGGACCCCAAGAGATCAAAGAAATGTGATGTATGGCCACCCACAGGTAAGTGCTCAACACAATCTGGGATGTGACCAAAATATTGGGTGCTCACCCCAAAAAAGAAAAGAAAAAGAGTTAGAGACAAGAAGGGTGTATAGCTGTAAAAGAAAGACAGATAGAGACAAGGCCCCCTAAAAGGAGGGAATAGAAGAGACAGAATGAGAGAGGGGATGCAGGGAGAGAACGAGGAGGAGAGGGGGAGAAGAGAAAGAGAGCAGAAAAAAGCAGAGCGAACTAAGAGAGAGGTAGTAAGAGAAAATGACAAAGAAGGATAGAGGAGATGAGAGGAAGTTTGAGAGGGAAAGAGAGGAGGAAAGAAACTGAGACAAGAAACAGAGTAGAGAAAGGGTGAGAGATAGTAAGATCAAAATCAAAAAACATTAATAACAAACTACAGCAAGGGAGAAATGCATCGTCAACTTCACTGAAGCGACAGAACAACACTAACAGCAGCATCCTCTCTAGCTAGAGCATCTGCTGCTGTAATGGCCTCCCTCCAGATATGAAGCCAACTCAAAGAGACCTACAGATGTGGAAAACCCTATCAAAGATGTGTGGAAGTCACCAAGGGTGTTGGTCTGTCCTTTGAGCCCACAAATTAATGTTCTTTGAGTCCCCTTCCAAAATGAAGTTGTGGCCCCAGAAAGTATCGCACCTAGAGAAACCTTCCAAAAGGGCATGTGCCTAAGCCCAAGTTGAGTCTCCATAACCAAGCAATCCACTGAAGGACAAGAGAATATTAGCATAGGCATCTCTGAAGATGCCGCCAAAGCCACAGGGCCAGGGTTACCCAAGGATGTGTTGGGTTTTATGGCCTTTAAAGGTCTAGAGTGCTTGTAAAAAATGATATATATAGTGGTATATGCACTTCAGTGGGAGTGTGTGTAGACTAATCAAGAATTGAGTTTATGGTCCTGGTCATGTCCAAAACCCTTGGCCCTAGGCATGTGGCGCTACCGAGAAGGGTTTGCAATGAGTCATCCCTAGTTGAGGTCGGAGAGAAGCCCAGAGATTATGTTTGTAGGCCAGGAGAACTGTGTGGTCTCCCGTACGCAGTTGTAACCCTGTGAGAGCAAGGGCCAAAGCCTCAACAAACTTATGCATGGCATGTACACATGAGAGCCGCATTACTGGGAAGGACCCTATAGAGGGACACGTGTACATGTGTATAAAGAGAGCCCTTTTTGCACTATGGTAACAAGTGCTAGACTTGCTCTTAAAGGGGGGAACTGAAACCCACATTCCATGATCATGGTCCCACTGTTTATTGTCCAACTTTGACAAGCCAATCATGAACCCCTGCTTTGAGACCGTGGATCATGGGTCTTAGTTGGGTTGGCTAAAAAAATAAAATTGAATCATGCTTTCTGGGGCGAGTGGAGTGCCCTTATTGTCGTTATTTTGACCCATTGGTACTAGTCCACTCCTAGTATAATTTATTTTGGCACGAGTGCGAAAAGATGCCGAGTGCGAAAAGATGCATTGTAAGACCACGTGAAAGAAGAGACCGTGAGGGGAATTTCCACAAGATTGTGGCACGAGATGAAGTTAACGAATTGCATAATGGAAGACGAGATCTTAAAGGTTTTGTTGGATTCATGGAGCCAACAAATGGTGTTGAAGCCGCCCCCGAGAACCCAAGGGACCAGGGGCATAACAATGAGATCACCAAGATCCTGCCAAAAGGAATCTCAAAGATTGGCATGGTTAGGGCCATAGACTGCAGAAAACTTCCATTGGAAGTTATCCGAGGTCCGAGAGAGCACAACGAAGACCAAGATAGTCCTAACAGAAGTAAAAAAAAGAGAGTGACAGAGGCTCCCAAATGACCAAGACACCACTGGAGGCAACTTGGGCCTCCACGGTAACCCATCGACAAGGGCGAGTGCACTAGACCCTACTTATGGGAGGGAAGTCACAACTTGGAGCCTTGGTTTCAAGAATGGCCATAACATCCAAGGAGAACTGGCGGGAAAAGGAGAAGATGGCCCTCTTCTTACAAGGGTCTTCAAGAACCCTAATATACCAAATGAGGCACTTCATTATGAAACACTAAGCATGGGAGCCAGATGTCTGGGGAAGTGCCTGTTAGGGGACAGAGCAGCTAGGAGATGGGCATCAAAGCCCAGAGAGGATTTCTCAAAGATGAGATCAAAAAAGGAGATTCAAAAGCTCATGAATACCTTTTATACTTAGCTTGTGGACCTTGGCCCTCAGTTGGCCCATGATAATTGAGAGAGAGCTAGCAAAGGACACGCACATGTCGTCCAACAAGCCAGGAATAAGAGGCTTGCCACAGTCAATCGTTTGCAACTCCGAGGTGAGAGGGGACTCTACCAAGAACGCTACAAAATCATAGGAGGTCCTAGAAGAGGTCGACAGAGAAGTCCTGAAAGATGTCAGCAGAGAAATGTCTACACTACCCGGGTTAAGGGGGTAGGGAAGAGGCTGATTGGAACCCTCGGGAGGCGGGTAGATACAGACCCTAGGGGCTCGAGAGCTACAGAAAGAGTATAGGACAGGAATAAAGGCCAAAGGAGGGGTGTGTGTAGAAGAACCAGGGAAGCTGGAGAAGAGCTAGGGTTAGGGGGAACAAACGATAGAGGCGAAGAATTTTGAACTTTTAGAGAAGGGGAGGCGGCCCAAACAAGTGCCAACACATCGTGTAGGGAGTGGGGGGGGGGAAGGTTTAGAGGTAATACTTTCAGAGGGAGTAAGCTCTAAGCCATCTGAAAGTTAGAGAAGGCCAACTCAAGTTCGGGTGGCAAGGGAATCAAGATGTAAAGCCAAGAGAGTTCAGAGGTTACAGTGGAACTTATGGACCTAAAAAGGGCCCGGGTGAAGAAAGTGTCATCTGGAAGTGGAAAAGAGACCTATGAGAAGACAAAAATAGCAACAGACAAAGGAATAAGTGGAAAGCCAATATAGGAGGATAGGTAGAAGTTGGGAAAGATGGAAAAACTCCAAATTGGGAGGAACCCATGGATAAGTTGAGCAAGGAGCACGAGATAGAGGAGGCGGGATGTGCAGAGGGAAAAGGATAGCAAGAGAAAAGGAAGCCTTTGGGAGGAAAGACATGAGGAAGGGTAAGGCTAAGAGGACATGGAGCATTAGAAAACACCCTAGGAGCTGGAGTGTTATCCTTGTAAATGTGTGCAACTAAAGAGGATGAGAAGAAAGCCACTGAGAGAGTGGCCTATCGCAGCGTAATAGGGTCACTCATGTCAGGTACGAGGCCCAACTTGTCATTTCCCATGAGTATGATTAGCCGCTTCCAATGAAATCCTGGATTGGAACATTGGAAGGCAATTAAGAGAATACTCAAATAATTGAGAGGGACTGCAGATTATGCGCTCACATATGGAGGCGAGTCGGACGTAGTCATACATAGATACTCAGATGCAGATTATCAAGGAGACCCTGATGACGCCAAGTCGACATCTACATATGTCTTCATGCTAGGAGGTGGGACAATTTCTTGGAAGTCCAAGAAGCAGGATGAAGTGGCCCTATCCACCATGGAATCCGAATACGTGGCATGTTGTCAGGAAGCCAAGGAGGCTGTGTGGATAAAGAAGTTTCTCAACTAGCCCATTTTCGAGCCCATGAGATTTTTTATTTTTTTTTTAGAAAAACCCATAAGATGTTCATGTGAGAATCTTCTGTGACAACCAATCTGCAATATGTACAACCAAGGAACCGAGTTTTCACAAGAAGTCTTAGCATATCAAGCTAGCTTATTTTTATGTTCGAAACGAAGTCCAACTCGACGAGATAGAGATCGTGTATCTTCCCACAAAGGCAATGCTTGCCGACCCTTTGACCAAGGGATTAGTGGTGAATGTGTTTGTCAAACATGTACATGGGATGGGCTGAGAGAAAGTGAGGAAGAGAAAGTGGGGTTTTGTAGCCATTTAAAGGCCTTATGAGAGCATGTACTGAAAAGCAAATAGTGAAATGTTGGCTTCAGTGGAAGTGTGGTCCACTTTGGACTGCGAGGCAATTTTAAGGCCTAGACACACTTGAGCTTTGACTAGCTATGGCTCAATGTGATGTCCAAAAACCCGTAGTCCTGGGCACGAGTGAACACAACCGATAAGGGTTTTCAATGTGAGGTTATCCCTTGATGAGGTCGGAGTTGTGCCTAGGACAGTTGGTTAGGGGACATGGACTTGACCCCTATGTGTGATGGATGGCCTAAGAAGATATGGGCCAAAATCATAATCATTACCATCACACGACATGTAAGCTAGATAATCATGAGGGAAGCGACCCTTTATGGATAAGGGTGTGTGATGTGTACAGGTGTAAAAGAGAGGACTCCCTGCAACATTGGATTGCGTTGGAAGGACCTATGGAGTATACTGCTGAAATGGGGTCTAGACTTGTCCTCAGGGAGGGACTTGTAATCCATGGTCTAGAATCGTATCTCCTTCACTTTATTGACTGACTTTGAAAGTTCAATCATGAACCCCAGCGAGAGGTTGTGGATCATGGGATCTGTTGAGTCAGTTTTAGAAGGCGCAGTGAGGTACGGTCTCTAAAGAAGATAGAGTCCTCAATATATTTGTCGTAATCCTAACTCTATGGATCAAATTCCCATCAAATCTTCTTAGATATGTTTAAATATGTTTTAATTATTTTTTCAGACAATCTAAATAAATTTTTTGACTACTCTAGGTATTTTATTTTATTGAGAAATGATTTTTAACTAAGGAAAAATAATTTTTTTATTTATTTTAATCAGAAAAAAATATTTAGAGGTTTTACAAAATTATTTTATTATATGAAATTATGTTTAAAGTACTTGGGGGCCCATTAGGATACATTGGGCCCACTATATTATGAGGCATGGGGCCCACATGGCCATCTTATGGGTGGTGTGCCCCACCTCCTCTAAACTTTCCTAAATTGAAGATGGCAATTATGCCATATGTTGACTTGATATTTTAGGAAACCTTTTGTTTAGATATTTTGATTGATTTCAAAAAAGTAAGGTAATAGCAAATAATTGTGATTGATTTATTACTTTCTTTATACAATATATAATAAGAATGGAGTTATGGAAACTGAGAAATAATGGTTCCGCCTCATTCCTTTTAACCATGATGGTTGATCTAATGAATGAATGGATAAGATCTTTCACCCCATCCGTCTCCAAATTCAAAGGTCAAGATTAAATCTTATAATGATGGCAATACCCTAAACTTTGTTCTATATAAACTAGCTATGGGATGATTCATTATCTACACTTGACATCACACTCTCTCTAAGCCTCAAGGAGTGGCACGCCACTCTTAAAATATCTCTCTTCTTCTCTCTCCAAACTTTAGGGTTTAGGAAAGAAAACTAAGACAAGGGCTGGCACGCCCAACCCACAAAGCCTAGCCCTAGGTCTGTTTCTATGCTCATGTGTTGAGCCTTGGTCAAGGACATCCCATATTATGCTCTCTGCTGGTTTTGCCTAGGCTTCCCAAGTTATGAAATAAGATCTTGAACCAATATCTGGTGTGTCATTGGTAGAGGAGACTCGATGTAGGGTGTTGCAAGTCCTTGGGGTAACCTGAGACATGGTATAAAGTATTCTTTTGGTTTATACTCTTTTTATTCCATTGCATCTTTTCATTTCCAGATCTGTATTTTTATTTTAATGGCAAGCAAGTGAGAGTTCTTGGCAATCTTATTTGATTTATATTGTATATGGACACTTTGTAAGCGACTCGAGAGGCAATACAATAAGAAAGAATAGAAAATTTTAATGGTATTGACTTGCCCGGTCACATAGTCCACCTTTCATCCAGGTCCTCTAGCACACAGAAGAGAGAGCAACACCAGATTGAAGGGTCTGAATTTGGAGGAGCATTTTGAGTAGGCACGAGCACAGCAGTGTTGAGCTTTGCCCAAGTCTGGGGCATAAGTAAGATGAGGAGAACAAGGCTGGGGTGGTAAGGTAGGTTGGCGAGCAGTTGAAGGTTGGGAAGGACCTTTCGGTTGGGACTTGATATGGTGTAGGTAGTTATTGTACAAAGGAGGAAGAAGGATATGGAGAGGATGGTAAGGTCTACCAGGACAGTGGTGGCTGGTGGCAGAAGACAAACCCAAAGAAGTAGCAGTAAATGAGGTAGGTGGCTGAAGGCATCTGTAATAAAAGGGCGGCAGGAGAACAGATTTGGAGGTCCTGTGATGGGAACTTCTGCTACGAGACAAAACCATGAGGAATAAAAGTCCCTCCCCTACAAGGGGCAGCAGGGAAGTGGAAGAGGGAGAACAAGCCGAGTGGGAAAAGATCAACACTAAATCAAAGAGAGAGGCTAGACTGGCAACCATTACTTCCCTGGTCTGAGACCAAAGAATCTCCACCAGGATGTTTTCATATGATGGGAAATTTTCAACATAAACATACCACCCTTAGCTCATGATATACAATAGAGGACATGTAAGACACATGGTTCATCACATATAAGACACATCAATTGGAGTCATGATTCACACTAGAGAACGTTTAAGATATAACATAGTTTCCATGTGTCAAAACATATTCCCTCCCAAGGCCACCATAACACTTCTTGGCTTTACCACCATTATCCCATGTGACCAAGGGATACTTATGAACTTCAGTATTCCCAACATATAAATGTTTGCTGGACCACTAATTTTTAGGCCATCATAGCAATCATCACACTTTTCAGAAGTGCTTAAATGCATTTAGCTAATAATTTTGAAAATTAATTTAAGCCGCACGCATCTTTCCACCCCCCTTGCCTCAGCCAATAACAATTCATACCCACCAACCAAAAACTCTGGGAGATAAACTTAATTTCCTTAACAACAAAAAATCATGCCACTCTCCCTAGCTTTTTCTGCTGCATCATTTTTCCCAATATAAAAAGAGAATATGCAGACTAAATTTCAGTATTTACCTATAGTATCAAAAAACAAATTTAAAAAAAAAATGAAAACCTCTTAATGGAAAACCAACAACTTCCTAAGATCAAATTGACAAAGAAAAAAAAAACAAAAGCATAATAAACCCAAATTGATGGACTATTTGCACATGTTACAACCTTAAAACTAAGCAGAATAACAGAATCCATAAAGAAATCAGAAGTCAGATAGTCCATACACTTAATACTGGTTTGAGTTGGTCTTCTTCAGATAATACAAGGAAAAGCAAGCGAGCCCACCTTTGTGCCTCCGAGCACCAAGAATTTAAGTCATCATCATCATAAGTAGCAGACTGAGCATGGGAATTATTTCTAATAAAACTTTTTGGAAAATCATATAAATTATGTAAGACACATGATTCAACTTGAAAGGGTAACCGTTCAAGACATGCATCACAGCTCAAAGATAACCAGCATTGAACATTTCTTCTCAAATAACCTAAAAAATAAAATCAATAGGAAAATAAGAATCAAAACCCAGACTGAAAATTTTAAAAAAAATACAAAATGATTATCATCATCAACCAATTTAAAAGCATATGCACATGCAACTACATTTGCAACATATAATTGAATAATACCAGTCAAATGACATAGTTTGTGAAAACTTACTGTTTACTTTATGAGGAGACATGCAATGATTTACATGTTTAGCTCATGTATTTTTTCCATCCTCATACCTTTTGCTCTTTTCTATTTTTTTCCTTTTCCTTTTTTATTTATTCCCTATTTTTTATCAGAAGACAACTGAACTTGGACATTAAGCTGTAATTCAAACAAGCTTACCTGTCAAAAATAATGAAAAGAAACCACAACATTCTGCCTGTGTATAACGCAATATTGCAACTTATGCCTTGATCGTGCTTTATGCATCTATAGAAGTAAAGGACCATGCTTTTTGCATCTCATCATAGAGCTTGATCACAACCAGAGTGGCATTTCTAAACCATGTTGCATATCAAAAGGGATTGTATACTACGAGACCATTTACCTTTGGTAAAAGGAGGTCAAAATTAATTACAACCCTCCAAAGTGAAATCTGATAGCTTCAATGTATTAGAAAATTCGGAAAAATTTCTTTTGAACTTTGAGCCTTAATCGATGAATCAAATGCAGCTACCCAATTTCACATCCAATGGTCAAGATTAATTGTCACCTCCACGTACCAAATATAAAATGCTCTCATAGTCTACTTGTCCTTATCAAAATTACCCTCAAATTTACCTCATATATGTGTTAAGGACAAAAATATTCTACTGAATGTTTATCCAGCCAGCAACCACAGCAGCCAACATCGTAAAATTTACAGAAAAAAGGTAGGGATCACTGTAAGAGTATTATGTTCGGTTAAAACTAGAAAATTTCTACCCGAAATTAGAAATCCAACTCTTGGCCCAAAGAAATCAAGCCATCCTGAAGTAGTACTCAACTTTCGTTCTTTGGGATGAGCTGGCATTGATGCATACACCCCTTTCTTGGTGAGGCGGCAGACATGTTTCAAGATGATACAAATATGTGATAATCCACGTGTTGATGTCTGCACCCCAGGTTTGAGCAGATTCATGCTATACATCCGCAACATGAGACCTTCATCAAAAATGCTCTTTTGAATCTGCGAAGTTCCGTTAATGTCAAGGTGCAACAGACATTTGCAACCTACAAGGAACCCTTGATAGCAAAGACCAACAGCTCATAAATCCCATACCATGAAAGCATGGCCAAGATATGGTAGCATAATCCTAGAAACATTAGCCATGAAACCACAGACCATGGTAGCAGCATCAGAATCCCAATACTTATCATCCCATTTTTTAGTGTTGCTGAAGAAACTCCTTCAACATAGATTAAGAATCTTGGGAACCAACCAATGATTTGTCCAGCTGTGTCTCAATTTCCCAAACTAGGGGAATTTACCAAACCCAGGAATCTTCCAAACCTTTAGATGTTGCGCATTGTCCCATTCTTTTCTTAAATCAAAAATTTTAAAAAGTTATATCAAGTTGCAAACATCCAGCCAAAGCTGCCAAATAAGAGAAAAATAAAGAAAAACACATAACTGATTTTAACAAGTTACAAAATTAACAATCCCCAATCAAGATAGAATCACCACTAAACTCCTTTCTACATGAGCGAATGATCCTTGAAATTAGCGTCCATGTGCACGAGGTAATAGGACGCAGACTCCCCCTTCAGCTCTCTTGAAAAACTCTTTCCTGAGGTTGTTGGGATTGTAGCCTTTAAATGCCTAGAGAGCATGTAAATAAAATTAATTATAGTGGATTCTGCACTTTAGTGGGAGCGTATGTGTTTGACTTGCCCTAGGGTTGGGCAGTTTATGGCCTAAGTCGTGTCCAAAACCCTTTCACGGGGCATAGGCACTACCATTGAGGGTTTATTAGGTCATCCCTTGTTGAGGTCGAGGTGATGCTTAGAGATGTTACTTGTAGGCGAGGAGAGTTATGTGGTCTTCTGTACGCAAAGGAAGGGGCACTGAGAGCGCGGGACAAATCCATAACAAAACTTTCGCACGACATGTATATATGACAACCGCATTTCTTGGAAATAACCCTATGCAAAGAGATATGTATATGTGCGTAGAGAAAACCCCTTGCACTATAGTGATATGTGCATTTTGAATTGCTCCTAAGTGGGAAACCTGAAATCCACATACTAGGACTATGGTTCCACTGTTTATTGGTCAGCTTTGACAACTCAATCATAAGCCCTTACACTTGACTATAGGTCATGGATCTTGTTGGGTTGGTTTAAGAAGACAGTAGAGGATCATAGACCCTGGCATGGATGGAGTGCCCTAGCATTCACTTGTTTTTTGACATATTAGGCACCAATTTAGTTCAATTAAGTATATCTGAATGTTTTAAATCTTTTAACTACTGAAGAAATATTGATTTCAACTAAAAATGTGTTTCTGAGATTTTTGGATATTTGTAGAATTTTAAATTTGATTTCAAATGAGTAAAAAAACCCTAAGGGTATGTCTGTAATATTTTCATAACAGGGTTATTTCTGAAATTTCAGGGTTTTTTTCTTTTTAGATGCTTAGGACCCATGTGGGGATCCTACGAGCCCACAAGGTCCACGACGTGAGGCCCACATGGGCCACACGGCCCACTAAGTTTGACACCCAAAGGTTTCCCAATTTAATGGGACTCCCAAGGGTGAATTTTAGAGATTAAATATTTTTGTTGAAAATATCTTATAAAAATTTTATTGAGGGATTTAAGGGGATCTAGATTTTGGTCACTATTTTATTTCCAAATTATCCCTATGTGAGAGAATAGAAAACCTAGAAAATTATGGATTATTCTAGAATGTTCTAGAAGATAAGATATAAATTATTTAGAAATTGATATAGGTCAAATCTCAAGCTGTTCCAAAATATTCACTCTAGATCGCGATGGTTGATCTTGGAGATGAATGGCTCGGATTAATTCTCTCTTGCACCTCACAAATTATCTGAATATTGTCTAGATCATGTTCAATTCTATTTGGACTAAGACTCCCTAGGGCCTAGCGGCCTACAAAAGGAGGGGGTCTCTCTCTCATTCTAGTTATCAGGTCTCTCTCATTTCCCTCTCTCTCTCTCTCTCTCTCTCTCTCTCTCTCTCTCTCTCTCTCTCTCTCTCTCTCTCTCTCTCTCTCTCTCTCTTAGCTCCTCTCTCTCTTCCTAAGTGGCATGCCACCCCTCATAAGTGTTGGGGTAGCACGCCCCACTCAAAGGAGAGACAAGGGAAGGGGAAGCCTAGCCCACCCTTGCTTTAGTTATTTAAGGGAGGTGCATCTTGACATGTCCAAAAGTTAAAAAGGGGTTCTTCGTGAAACCCTAATTGTGCCCTAGCTCTCAGCCCCATAAGTTTCAGAAAAGAGTGTCCCAAAGGTGCTTCTCATATTTAGGTTGATGATTCAGTAGGATCCGGAGTTTAGAGTGCACCATCAATCAGGTGATGGGGTGTGGGGTGTGCTAATCCCTAAGTGGGTAACCCCAGGGAAAAGTCAGTAAATCTTCCCTTAGTTATTTAATTTTATTTTATGATGTTCTTGTATTGGTTTTTGCTTCCTAAAGTTGTTAGTTTGTAATTCAGTTTCAATAAAGTTTTGCTTGATAGTAAGATTTTAAAGACCCTAGATTGTAATAGGTTTTATTGTATTTGTGGCAATTGTAAGTAGAATTTCCGGTAATAAATAAAAGAAAGAAAGAAAAATTTTGAATTTATAGTATGGAATTCTACATAACCAAAGGTTAGCTAATCTCAATGAACTATTTGGCTCTATGCTGGCCAATGTAGTGATGCTGGAAAAGGCCCACCAAGGACTAGAAGATCTCCAAGTCCAAACCTGTCAAGAAAGTTATGCTTCTGCCTCTTTTAGAGTGTAGACAAACAGATGCCCACAAGCGCCTTACAAGTCACGACGATCTTGCCAAGATCATCTACAGTAAATATCTAACCCAGATTATTAAAGATTCAGACAAGAACTTCTATCAAAATGAAGTTTTAATAAACCCCCAACCCAATGAGCATCCTTCCCAATTTTCCATGGTGCTTATCACATCTGGAAAGTATATACACCAATATTACATTGGTGACTCACTAATGAAGAGTGTTTTCTGTAGAATATTGTGAAAGAAAGAACACAAGGTCCACAGACTCTTCCATTAAATTTTTTTGATGCTAGTTATTTGGCACCTTCCACAAACAATGTAAGTTGATGAAACAAGAGGCACTACCTTTCACAAACTAGACTGCTGGATTACAGATAAACCAAACAGAGGCCCTTGGTATCCAACGTCCTAACTTCAGGGCAACACCTTCCGCACATACTCCCTCTCTTTCCTTGTAGTATATGTTTTTGTTTGTTCTGCACTTTGTGCAACAAGATATTTATGTCCTTTTTTTAAAACTATCAACTAGATGTATACTTTTCTTGTTCTCTTCATGTAAATTCTGATATGACAAAGAAGCATCAGAAGTCCTCCACACACAAGAGTTCTATGTAATGCTTACCGTAAAAGAAGCAGTCTTCTCATTCTTAGTCATGGTAATGGGTAACTGGCACTTGATTCGAGCTGTTGCCCGGGTCCAACAATCATGTCTAAATTTTGATCCAATATATTTCTTAACATTAATTCACAACTCATAGCCATATATTTTTCATTTTTCAAATTACACATTTGAGATCCTCAGTATCTTTCACCTGCTTTTGACATTGCTGTCTCATAAATTTTATGGTACCACTAAAAGGGAGAAGAGTACATGTTTATTGCCTCTAAATTTTTTAAGAAAAGAATGGTATCCGTAGAATGGCATCCGTAGACATTCTCAATTTCACAGTTCATGAAACAAGCATTCGCATAAAACAAGCTTTAATACAGTAACATGTATTATGTAAGTCATAGTAGAACATGATTACTGAAAATCAATTCAAACATACTATAAGGTCAAATTTTGAACTTCCACATCTAAAACTAGCACAGGGTTTCATAGGCTTCATCTGAGGTTAGCCATATCACAATATCTATTTTCGCGAAGAACATAGAACAACCAACATACGAACTTCATCAGAAAAAAAAAAAAACTCAACATACGAAATAGAGATCAGTTAAACTAAAGAAAAGGCTGAAAAGTGGATGACACGCATATGACAGTTATGAAAGCACCAGGAAATGTCATTAGAATGCTTGGCTTCGAAGAGAGTCAAAATGGAAAAACGATAAGGTAAAGAGCATATCAGGCACATTACAACCAGCATCGGTAAACGCGCGTGGAAAGACTGAAATGAAATGCAGAAGCGTGTCGAGTGGAACATCATGAACAGACACTAAAGTAGAAACTGCCGCCAAAATGTAATCAAATACTGCAAATCCACAACAAGAACAACATTAATATTTCATTTAAATTAAAAAAGAAATCAAAAAGTTCGCTGGCTCCAAATAAGCATTAATTGAGTTGAGACGATTTAAGGGACCTTGACGCCGATAATTTTGATTGAAGTGTTGTTTCGATTGCTCGAGAAAAAACTGCATATTCTCCAACAAGCCTGCACTACTTTGCGGAATGCTATTGGCTTGATCAGGATCTACAGAGCAACTCCACAGATAGCTTTGTGAAACACCTTCATTATGCTGATATGCCGTACAAGCAATTGAAGAAATGCAAGCTGCAAGAGTCATAAATCCAGCTCGCCCAAAAGATGCACGTTTCGTAACAGATGATAAAGTGCGCACAAGTGATATACGTTCTCTGCAACCACAAGGAAGAGGCATCAAAATAATTCCAATTTCAACATGGAGAGAAACATTGACTGACAAAGAAAACCATGTACGGTCCTAACAACTAAACTAAGTGCTTGATTCAGTGACAAGAACATGAAACATGATAATAACAACATTCAGGGACCCTCAAAATTAATAGTAATACTGGATAAGAAACAACTAAGAGAATAATCATCAGTTGAAAGTGCCATAGTAATTGGAAAATATAACAATGCTTAATGGCATTGACACCATAGGGAAGCAAACACGAGTTTGATGCTTGTGCCTCCTAAAGAGCAATCCCATAACACCAGCACACTTTTCTGTCATGTGACGTTTAAGTCTTCAAACTTTATTTGAATCTCACAATAAGAACAGTGCACCCTATCCCTTAATCTTCACATCCACGACCTCCTTTACAAGCGTCATTATGATGAGAATATTATTAGGAGAAATTCCCAATCAATGGATGCATGTCATATGCCATATATTAAAATATATCTAGAAGAAATGGACCGCATGAACAACTCTCACTAAGCCTCCATATAGCACTTTATGCATCGTGATTGGGCGCACGGTCATATAAAAATCCAATCTAAATTCATAAAGCAATGACAAACTCGTTTTTCATATACGGCAGGCAACTCTTTGGTTGCTTCACACTTTCTCACTCGTGAGAAAGAGAGTACAAGAGGGGGGGAGAGAGATCCCGCAGACCAACAAATATTCAAAAATGAAAACAAAGCCAGAATGTCTTAAATAAACATGCCCATAAGCCAGCCCGAGAAATAATGGCATGGCGTTATGATAGTGACAGCTGTGTGGTAGTAGTGGTGATAGTCATGGTAGTGACATAAGCGCGGTAGTGGCAAAGGCAGTGGTGTGGGTTGAAGAGGAACCAGCAACAGCAGTACGGTGTGTTTGGGAGCATTTTAACTCAATAAAATTACTAAGGAAAACTTCTCAGGAAATAGTACCAAACAAAAGGCCACCGGTAGGAAAGAGTATTGACATCAATAAAAGCAGTCCTAGAAAGACTTCAACATTGGAATCCCCCCTCATAATGATGAGAGAAGCCTCCCTGCCAAAAATGAGGAGCACCAGACTTAATGCACCATTAGATTGATGATCAAATGGCTCAGAATATAGTCAAACTTCGACCAAATCTACTGAAAACCACATTCCAGTATCCCGAATTTTAAACCGACATGACATAAGGTCATCCCCCAAATTTCAGCATAAACCGACCCCAAATGTTAAAAATATGGATCAGGCAAGTCAATAACCCAGATGTCATGTCATTAAATGGCCTTGAAGTTACAAAGCAATCCTATGGAAGTTGCGTGAAAATGGTCCAATATTTTTATAGAAGGAAGGAACCATGGTGAAAAGCTCAAATCTGAAATTTGAAGCCAATCCAATTCTGGGTCGCCAAGATATGGATTTGACAAGTTTAAAATTTCAGGGGAGACCAACTCATTTTACAAAGGGGCCCACCAATCCAAATGTTCTGCAATTCTTATGGAAGGAAGCATATGTTATGAAAGGGCTAAGTTCCAAATTTAAGCTCGATCTGAGGTTAAATGAATGAGATATGGTCCACAGCTGTGTAAAACTCGGTGAGGGCACACACTATTTGGATTACTTTTACAAAGCAGCCTTGAGAAATCAGCAGCTGGCTAGATTTTATGGAAGGATAATGCAAATAAGAAAACTACATCCTCCAAAATTTAGCCCAATCTGGTGTCCAGAAGTACCTGTCCCAAGGATCTCTTGGTGGATGACAAATGGACCATCAATCTCTATCTAAAAAGCAAGTAAACCATATGGTCCAGCAAGCTACAGGAGTTGTAGCAGCCATGAAAATCTTGGGGCAAGCTCATGAAGCAACATCTCTCAAATGCAATAGCCAAATGGGCTAAAATTTCAGTATGTTGTTCCTTGATACATGAGCTTTCAAAAGGTATACATATCAAGGGGTTCTTTGGTTGAATCATGGCTAATTCGAGGGAAAAAGAAGTGGGATTGAAGCCATTAAAAAATTCCAGCCCCTATGACTTACAATAATTCCCGGATCAATATCTCATGATCCGAGTGGTATTTTGAACCGAAATCTGATAGGGAGATTCCTAACTCAACGCCACTCATCAACGTACAGAAACCTGAAGATAAAAATCAAATTGAGGAAGAAATTGTAGAGAGAAGTTGCTTGAAGCTTTTGACATTATAGTTTCCAAAAAATTAAAGGAAATAAAGCGGCAACAGCTTAGCCAAATGATGATCGCTTGCGCCAAAAATCACGCGAAACGATGAACTCAAGACCCTTCACAGGAATTTGGTGCTTGATCGTCAAATAGAAATCAAATAAGGGGTGCATTGAAGAGCCATGGAAGAAGCATGGAAAAATCTACCCAAAAATGGAAAGTCAAGATTACAATGGGGCAACTCGCCAAATTTAACACCTTTTTTGCTCAAATATGTAGCAAAATGATCATGGCAAGATTCTCAGCAATTTCACATAAGAAATTTCGGCCAAAATGGTAGAAAAAATGATTCAATTTGATGGGTTTTAGTGTTGGATGAAGAAGGAAGCCTCCCCAAGAGCAAATCATCGAAAAACCCAAAGTTTGGTTGTCCTTTTTGGTCATTTAAGAGGTAGCGCAAATTGATTTTGATAATCCACCCATGTTTAACTCCACTTTTATTTTTCCACCCATCAAATTATTAATTAAACACCCATATTTTTCCACCACTATATAAACCCAATTAAGCCTCATTTTCAACAAGCGGACAATTGAGATTAAGAGCCAACCTTAGAGAGCGAGAAAATATACCCAACTCCCCAAATTACCTCGAAGCCTTTCCCATACTTCCCAAAAGAATCTAAAACTCCCGAGAAATTCTCACTCCTAAGGCTAACCCTTAGGAACCCTAAATCCAAAAAAGCCCAATTCTCAAAAGAACCTGAAACCTCCAAACACCCCAAACTTTAGAACTTTCACTTTTGGCCCCTAGCCTCAGAGTGGGTGAGGGCCAGGCAGGTCTTGAGTATATTCTAATTGCTCTGGGAAGCGAAGAAGGGGCATCCCTTGATTCTATAAATTGGAGGTCTAAGAGGGTCAGCTATACCGGATCGAGAAGCAAACATCCCCACCTTGTATTTGCTTTATTATAAGCAATAAAAAGATTGTAGTTCTAATTATGTGCTTCTTGTTACTGATCTTTATCCGGGCTATTGAGACAATCAACACGCACACAGAAGCACCTTTTAAAGCGACATATGGTGGAGATAGTGGCAGCAGTGTATGGAAGCGTGGTTGGAAGGGAAGTCAATCTCATAAAAAATCATTCCACATAAAGTCGAAAAATAGGTTTTACACTAGATTTGGATATTTTGTACATGTATCAAGATTCAAATCATCATCATCCGAGCCTTATGCATGAATCACATTCCGCCATTCTGCTCTATCAAGGGACATACCTCAGTCAGACCATAAGTCACCGTAACTCTACTCACTATTTCCATCCATGCCCTTTTGGGCCTTCCCCTTGCTATGTATCAAGATTTAGATCATCATCATCATCCGAGCTTTATCCCAACTATTTGAGGATGTATCAAGATTCAGATAATCCCCAAAAAATAATCTCCACAACCAACCCCTCCCCCTATGGCCAAAAAAAAAACTTTAAAAAATGCGATATTTCTTATAAAGACTTCTTAACAGTGAATATTGCAATTCACCAAGCTAATGAACTGATCCTTAAAAATTATGCAGCTATCAAAAGGCAATAGATAATAAAATTGAAAAATACCTACAAATAATATGATAATTAACCACCAATTTACACCCCATAGAAATGACGATAGATCAAGTTGTTGAAGTATGCAGCAGGATCTTAATATAGAAATTGTTTAGAATAGATAAATAAATACGCTTTATAGCATAAAAGCATGAATGGCCATCATAGTATGAGAGCAAGGAAAATTGTCTCTAAACCAATGGGCAAAAGCAAATGAATGTCGCCACATCCATATATTCAAGACTAAGGCATAAGAACATAGGTTCAAAACCAAGAAACAAGCTGCAAAATACAACAAAGAGAATTTAAGTCAGGGACGCGAGGCCCTGATTCAATAACAAGAAACAAAGCTGAAGTCATAGCATAATATATGCAGCAAAAGAGCCCCAAAATAAACACTTCTCAACTATCAAGCACTCACCAATCAAAAAAAAATATGATAACTGACAGGGTAAGAAATACATACTGCACAGAGGAGGAGTTGCAGAACTGGCTAAAGAATTTCATAGCACCCGTACTTGTTTCTGAAAAGTAATCCCCTTTGAGTCCTGAACCAACATATGCAATTAGCAAATGAATAGGCAATTTCAATGATAGCTCCAAAGATACCTCATAGAACAATAATTAGAATATTTATAAAAACCTACTGAAGGTCAACAAAAAGATTTGGGCAGGATTTAAATGATGTAATCTGCCTGAAATTAACAAACTCGATTCCCACATTTTATATATATATAAAAAAAAGTCCCTGCATACATGCCAACCACGAAAAATTTGCAAACACCCAGCTGATAATATCTTAAATAATCGGCATTTCTTGTGTGGGAATGCTCCATAATCCCACAAGCACTAAAGCCATTATTACTCCAGATAGAAATCACACACTAAGGGGGCACCTCCTCAAAAGTACCTTTTAATTGTCCCATCTCACCCTGGTGCTTGGTGGATGTGTTTGAAGAAGTTTTCATATATGTGTGGCCAAAAATGAATCTTCTAGCACTACTCAAGAAAAAAATAAGGGAGGGAGGGGGAGAGAGAGAGAAAGAGAGAGGGGGGGGAGAAAGCGAGAGAAAGAGAGAGAGATGTATCTCTTTAGTATGTCCTTTGGGGGCTGAGGAATAAGATGCTTTGGCTAGTAGTGGGATGGGCAAGGCGTCATTACTTGTAGAGGATGCTTAGTTCACTCCACTAGATTGGGTGTGTACTTTTGGATAGTGCATTTCAGTCTTAGGACCATTTCTATCCTTTGTACATTTTGGGTAGTGCATTTCAGTCTTAGGACCATTTCTATCCTTTGTACATTTTTCCAATTCTTGCATTCATGTTATATTTGGAAAAACACAGTTGAATATCCTCAGAATGTTTTCAATGGTACAAAATCATGAGTATTCATGTTTCATCATTAACAGATCTTGATAAAAGCTACAATAATTTCTTAAGCATTTCTATTTATAGGCCCACCTGAGATTTAGTAATCACAGAAATGCTTCTTTCTTGTATATTACCAACTTCACTAGCCAAAGATTCTTATAAAAACCATGTCCACTAGTTGAAACTTAAATACCATGTTACAGAGCTGAACAAGGTTAAACCAACAGAAGTAAAGCACAATATCACCATCATGAAGCCAACATGCACTTCATGAAAGAAAATAGATAGAGAAAACACCACCGACAATGGAGAAAAACAATTATGCCCTTCTTATCTAACAGTGACAGAGATGTTAATGTAAGACCCTTAAACACCTATTTAGATTTAGATAGGCAAGACACTAATCACTGCTAGTTTTACTTGTTATACAACATAATTGCAGGAGAAGGAATACAGTGCACTAAGACTACAAGATGGTTAACAGTGTTTAGATTTTTGAGTCTTCAACATTCTTCAAATGCAATAATGTACTTGAGCCTTCGGACCTTTTAGCATCATTGGCATCTAACGCTCATCTCTGAAAATTAAACTCCAAATGATGCAAGCCAAATGCAGTTCATGCAAAATATAAATGTTCATCAAAAGTCAAATGCCACCAGGTGATGCAAGTTATGTAAGCATTGTAACTTTCAAAGGACTCCAGAACAGATTCTGAATATGCCCTACAACCAGAGTCACCCCATATCTGAGATGTTAACAACAGAGCTCTTTTATTCCATTTATTTTCCTCAAATCATAAGAAATGCATTCCATCGACTCCTAATACCCATCCATATCAGACAGAGACTCAGGAAACTCAAAAGCATATAGCAGAGGCATAACAATTTCACATAGGACAGTCAATAGGTCAAAGCCTTATGATACAATGGCCATTCAAAACAATAATTAAATGCAAGAAGCAAGATCACAATGCTTCATCTAAATGACCCTGATCCTTAACTAGTTTTCATGGAACAATGGCAATATATATTCAATACCTTCGTTTCATATCTATTTATTTATATATTGGCACCAATGCAACTTAATGACCATATAGCTTTCCTACACATCAGGTCAATCTCCTTTATTCTAAATATTTATGTGGCTTCCTTTTTGCTTTTCACCACATTTCACTATATTTTCATCACTAAATTCATAGAGTAGCTCTTTTATTTATCTAGAGTTCCAGTTGTTGGGGTTTTATGGCCTTTAAAGGCCGGGAGAGCATGTAAAACATATGATTATAGTGGAATTTTTACTCTAGTTCGAGTGTGGTTCATGGGGATTAGAGAGGTATGCTTTGTAGTGCCCATGACTCACCTAGGATTTTCGTGGTCTAGGCTCGGGAGAAGAGTATAAATCCCTGTAGCCCTAGGCATGAGGCACATCCATAGAGGGCATGTAGCATTAGCCCTTGTTGATGTCAAAGAGTGCCTAGGATAATAAGTTCCGGGGACCGATGGGTCTCCCTTGGGCGGTTGGTGGGCCCATGAGCACAAGGACAAAAATCCGAAACAGTACTATCGCAAATCATGTACATATGATGGCCATGTTTTAGGAAGTGACCTGTTGGGGTGTAACGTATACATGTGCTAACAAGAGGACCCATGCACCATTACGATTGTGCGCACATCTCCATGCAGAACATGACTAGTCCTTAGGGGAAACATGAAATACACACATTAGACTTGAGTTCCCTTCAGTTATTGCCAAATTTGATGGACCAAATATAAGCCCCTGCGATAGGCTATAGGTTGTAGGTCATGGGTTCCGTTGGGTTAGTTTGAGAAGATGATTATGATCCATGGCACTAACATAGGTGAAGTGCCTTAGTAATTCGCATATTCCTAATACCGAATGGATCCGATTCTCTTTTAATTATGTTTAATTATAGTTTATAAGATTTATAGATCATTAAAATGAATTTCTAAAATTCTCTATATATTTTATTTTCACAAAATAGAATAATGTACAAACCAAATGGGATTTTCATCTTTTAAAATTATAGATATATTTTAAAAATACTAATATGCCTTTTTAAAATTTTATAGGAGTGTTAAAAGTACATGGGGCCCAATAGCCATGGGCCCACACGTGGGAACCCACATGGTGTGGGGAGTGGGGCTCACAATGCCTTTCCATGCTCCACATGTCCCACCCATTCTAGGCGCTTTCTCTTTCCTCTCCTCCAAGTCTTCAAGAAGATTTAATGAATATTAAGTAATATTCTGATGGGAGATATTGCAGAAGAAGAAAGGAAGAGTGAGAGAAATTTAGGAAGTGGTTCCATAACTTGGATTATTAGGAAAAAATATGTCACTAAAAATTCCTTAATTAAAAGAGAATGGGTCAAAGAAACTAAGGCAAAATGGTTCTAGAATCGTCACTTCATTATGATGGCCTATCTAAGGAATGAAGGCTGAGATTGAAACCCTCTCTTCCCCTCACAAATAACTGGAGGTTGAGGGTCCAAATTGAATCTCAATAAGATGGCTAAACTTAATGCGACACATCAGAGCAAGATCTCTCTCTCTCTCT